GTATTGCCCCCACATTCATGTTGGAACCCTAATCCCCAATGTGTTGGTACTTGGAGATGAGACCTTTAGGAGACAAGTCATTAGGGTAGAGTCTTCATGATGGGTTTAGCGTCCTTCTATAAAGAAGAAACACACGAGCTAGCTCTCTTTCTCTCTTTTTGGTGTAAGGACACAGAAAGAAGGCAGCCATCTGAAGTCAGGAAGAGGGCTCTCACAAGAACCCAAGTATACTGGCTGGCACCCTTGATAGAGTTCTCAGACTAAAATGGTAAAAGATAAGTGTTTTTTATTTTTAATTCTCCCAGTCTGTGGTATTTTGTTAAGGCAGCCTAAACTAAGTAAAAAGGATTAACACTGAGACTAGAAAAATTAATTCGATGGTTAGATAATAATTTATGACTTTGAAGAAAGAATTTCCATAGCCTGAAGCACGAACTAGATTATGACCACTTAAGAACCGAGGGGCTGATGAGGAAGTGTAGATACATCACAAAATGAAAAGTGAACAAATTGCTTAAGAGACCGAGAAGCCTACTCTAGACAGAGCACTACACTAGGCACCAGGGTCAGCCTCATGGGTGTATGACAATACATTCTACACGGGGTGCACACAAGCAAGGGAAGGAGTAGAGGAAGAAGGAGAAACAGACTCCTGCTGAGCAGGGAGCCCGGAGTGGGGCCTTATCCCAGGACCCCGGGACTATAACCTGAGTGAGCTAAAGGCAGGCATTTAACTGACTGAGCCACCTGGATGCCCCATACACATTCATATATTTTTAATGCACTCATTAGGTCTAGAGAAATAAAAATGGAAGTTTGTTTTATGTTTTACTTTATATACTCCTTATTTAAAAACCAAGATTTTAGGAAAATAAAGCTATTATTACATTTGGAATATAGTGGTGGATAACAAATCTTACAGTATACCACAATTCCTCCTAAGAATTACCTTCCTCCTTCCAAAATATTTTCAATTTCCATTCTCTTTTAGTTCTGACTCTGGCATAATTTGCTATTAATCTTAGAAAAAATCAACTCCTTGTCTGCGGAACAGCTTCTTCATTCATAAAACGAGGCACACAATCTAGGTAGTGCTTTATAACTACTGAAATTTAGCATGCTGGTGTCCTGAATGTGGATTAAGGAACTGACCTCTCCTGCAATGGGGCAGTTGAGAGGGGTCAGGGAGAGCCAGAGCTCCCTGGGTCCCTACCTCTGGCCATGAGCCACCTTGTTTAGGTCTCCTTAGAGCAGCCTTTGCAGAGCAGTCTGGGATATATGCCAAACCAGCAGCAAGCACTGTGGACAACAACCAGCACTTACAGTCCTGCTGAATGTGCATGGCCAAGGAGACGTCTGTCACATGGGCATCCATATGCAAAGCACTTCACAGCCCATCATGGACCAGAGAGATGTTGGAGCCAATTCTTGAGTGTGTGATCCAGATATCCAAGGGGCAGAGCACACAGTCTCGAGGGCAGTCTGTTAGAGGGTAAAAGAGGACCCTGGGCAGAGTGGGGTTTCCAGTGGGCTCAACTCTAGGCAATGCCCTTAATATTTTTCTTAACATAGTGTGGCTATTTCTACCATTTGTAGCAATGCACTCTTTTTTTGGCTAACTGTTGACAATGCATGCATGTTCTGAAGGCTAGTTTCAATGTGGAAATCCAGATATAAAAAAATACTATTGGGTTCCAAATCTTTTTGCATTATCTTATGAAATTGCAATATTACATGTGTCAGTAAAAGAAAAGGAAGAATTGTTATTCTTTAAATATAATTGTAAATTCTGAATGTTTATATAAAATAGTTTGAAATATTTTATCACCCACTTATGTGATCAGAGTCCCTCACTGATAATTACGATTCGGAATATGATAAATTTATCATTAAGAAGTTTAGATCAGGGGCACCTGGCTGGCTCAGTTGATTGAGTGTCTGCCTCTGGCTTGGGTCGTGATTCCAGGTCCCTGGGGTCCAGCTCCCCATGGGGCTCCCTGCACAGCCTAGCACCTGTTTCTCCCTCTGCCTGTTCCCCTCACTTGTGCTCTTTCTCTCTCTAATAGATAAATAAAATCTTAAAAAAAAAAAAAAGTTGGGGCACCTGGGTGGCTCAGTTGGTTATGCAACTGTCTTCAGCTCAGGTCAGGATCCTGAAGTCCCAGGATTGAGTCCCACATCCGGCTCCCTGCTCAGCAGGGAGTGTGCTTCTCCCTCTGACCCTCCCCCTCCCAGCCAACCCCCACCCTCGCCCCATCATACTCTCTCTTTCTCAAATAAATAAATAAAATCTTAAAAAAAAAAGTTTAGATCAGAAACTGCGTAAAGTCACTTCAACTATAGAACCTAGTATGAAAATATATTCACAGAAACAAGTTCAAGTTGATCATTCAAAAATGTGGAAAAATTTGATTTATTCAAATGTAATTTTTAATATCTTCTCTAACACACTGTAATTTATTTTATAACAATGTAATTTAAAGATAATGCTATGAATTTTTTTTTTTAACCATTGTTTAGATGCTTCCAAATCTTGTTTATGTAACCTAGGGTGCTATGCAAAAATTATCATTTTCTGTATGTGTTGTGATATGGAAGAAGCTGAGAGGCCCTGATATAATTTATTTATGAAGAGTGTCTGCCACCTCATCTCACCCTAGGGCCCTTGTCCCCTATCTCCCCCTCATATATTACAGGGATAGACAGCAGCCAAGGTTCAAGTTTGTATCCAACAAGGTCAAGAACTCCAGCATGGCTATTTGTATGAGATAGCATGTGGCTGCAGGGCTGGAGGGCAAGTTTAGACAAAAGCATAAAAAATAGCTAATGTCTAAAAAATCACAAAGTCTGGATGAACAACAAACCTGGACAAATCCAGAGAGGAATCTATATTTACTGAAGGACAAAAGAGGAGAATAAATGGACTGACATACCATGTTCCTGGATGAAGTACTTATTATCACCTCTCCCATCATTTCTCATATGAATATAAAAATTTAATACAGTTCAGGGATGTCTCAGCGGCTCAGTCGGTAAAGCATCTGCCTTCTGCTCAGGTCATGATCCCAGGGTCCTGGGATGAAACCCCCCATCAGGCTCCCTGCTCAGCGGGGAGTCTGCTTCTCCCTCTACCTCCTTCTCTCTCTAATAAATAAAATCTTAAAAAAAAAAGAATTTAATACAATTCAAAAAAGAAAGAATTATAGCAAATTATAATTGTTATTATTGATTAGGAATAACTTGGTTAGGAAACATCTAGACAAACATTCCCTAGTGAAGCCAAGTGATCAGACTGCTTGATCACCTCTGAAGCACCTCTTAGGTAACTTGGTGTGGATACCATCTTCCTAAGGTCTTTAACTTTGTGTTTTCCTAAGTACTCAGTATTGATTAAGTTATGCATGACTATTTCACAGTAATCAAAGTCACAAAGCCTTTATGTATAAACAAATCACTAAGGGTATACTTTTTTCTGAACGTCTTAACTACTGTTTGTGGCTATCAGGAGTACCAGATAAGAATACTTAATGGTTCGCTTGTGATTTGGAATCATAGTAACAAGCGGAGTCTGTTTTGGAGGGTTATTTCCTTCAAGTTATATTAAGGCCTGGAGACTGGTTTCTGCCGGAGAACAGAGTACTTTTTGTTCATGTCTCCCAAAGAAAACACCTGTTCCGTTTGGCAGTGATAGATGAATATCAACAAATTCTTACTCCTCGTTTTCCCTTTTCCAAACTCCAAACCGATCGTTCCCCATTTGGTTTTTTGTTTGTTTTTTTGTTTTTTTTTTTCCATCCTCCATTTAACACAAACTCTTTTTCAAGCAATTTATAATATTTATGATTTTATTTCTAATCTTTCCAAGGGAGGGCTTGATCAAATCTAAAGAAGCTGCTCTTACAAACTGCTACATTAAAATACAGGGCATTTCTAAGCAGGGCAGGGAAGACTTGCAAATTGTGGTCACTTTAATCAGTACCTTTGTTTAAACATGAATCCCTGGATTATTAATTTACAGTTCTCACAGGTGTCGGCGATCACCTAATTTCACTCCCATTTTCATTAAAAAAAAAACGCAAAGTAAAGCTCAACGAGATCGAATAACTTAAAATTACTTGGTTAGATCAAGGATTATTAGATCTCTGGTTTTTAACTCTTTATCTCGTTCCTTATACTTCGAGACCGAGTTGGAAACATTAAAGTAAAAAACCACTCGCGCATAGGGAGCCTATCTGTCCATCCTTTTAGAAATCTTGTGAATCATTCCTTATATTAAATCCGCGAGAACTGCTGCTTCAGCTCTTGCCACAGTAACCGTGAATTTACAGTAAACAGCGGCGACAGATTTCTTGAGTTCGGTGAGTACTTGAACTGACCTCGGCCAGTTCTGCCTCAGCTCATTAAGGGTGAAATTTCACTGTCAGCTGCGTTTCTGAGGCCTTTCCAAGGTGCCCATTGATTCATGTAAGTCGGGGTCGCAAGAACGTTCAGTGCAGCCCTCACAGTGGGCGTCGCAAAGAAAATGGTCTCTGGCATCCGGAAACGTGTGAGATGCCAAGAAGCCTAGAGGGCTTTTCTGCAACCTTTAAGTACAAGAGAGAAAAGTGGGGTTTTATTCAGGCACGGGAAAGAAATGAATTCGTAAATGAATACCGAGAGGTCTACGTGGGGGAGGGGGAAAAAAACGCCAGAAGAAAGAGAAAGGCCTTTTTCTCCGGTGACGAGCGGTCACAAGGCGTTCTCCAGACGTGGGCGCTCACCATTCGCTGAGTCCGACCTGACGTCACCGCAGCCGCCCGGGCGCGAACGGCGGAAAGGGCGGCACCGCACTGGAAGTAGGCGAGGCGCGCGCGCTCCCGCGCCCCGGCCCGCCCCCGCTCCCTGCCGGCCAACCCGCTCGTCCATTCTCTTTTCGCGCCCAGTTGGCCACACCCCCTTTCCAACTCGCCCCTCCCCCACCAGCACGGCGGCGCGCGGAAAGCGCGTCACGTGACGACTAGCCCCGCCTCTTCCTCTCGGTCCCATATTGAACTCGAGTTGGAAGAGGCGAGTCCGGTCTCAAAATGGAGGTAAAACCGCCGCCCGGTCGCCCCCAGCCCGACTCCGGCCGTCGCCGCCGCCGCCGGGGGGAGGAGGTATTAGGGGGAGAGCGGGGGGTTGATGGGTAGTGGCCGGCATGGGGGACCTAGCTCGGTGGGAGCGGGGAGGCCGGGTGGACTGGATCGGCCGTCCCGCGCTCTGCGTTGAGACGGGCGGTGGGGGGGGAGGGGAGCGGGCCTCAGAGGCCGCCTTGGGGCCCCTCGCCTTCCTCGCCTTCTCCTTCGGCTGCACAAGTGGCCCTTCGGAGGCGCTGCGTGGTTGGGGAGACCTGCGGAGGGGACTCGGCCCGCCGGCCGCGCGGCCTCGGATTCGAGGCCGAGGGCGGCATGGCGGGCCCCGGCGGGAGCGGTTGGGAGGAGGCGGTGGGGGAGGGGAGGGGACGAGCAGTCACATCCGGGCGAGCGAGCAGGCGGGCGGCGGCCACATTGACATTGATCCGCTGCCGCGTTACGAAATGGCGCATTGGGCCGCAATGGCCGCCGCCTCGCTCCGCCGCCCGGAAAGAGAGCGCGGGATTGGAAGGAAGCGGGAGGAGGCGGCCGGGCAGAAAATGCCACAAATGGCTTCGGATCTTGCGGCCTATACTGCTTTCGCTGAAGTTAATGCCGGCGCGTTTCTAGTCCCATGTAGATCTCTAAGGCGACGAGAATTTTAATTATCCTGTTTTTTTCTTCTCAGTACCCAGTTGACAGTACGAGATTTTTTTAAAAAAAGTTTGCTGCCTTAAAATACTTCTGATTTGCCATTCTTGCTAAACTATTTAGAATTACACGTATCTTCGCGTCGTGTGGGTCGGCTCTGGTTGTAGTTTCTTGGATTTTTGTTTGAGAGGACTGCAACCACAGTTGAATTTTTCATGTTAGAGATAATTTTATGTGGGTTATAATTGTATTCTGTCATCTCTGTGTTCTGTCGATTAATTACAACTAACCAAGATTTGAAAAGATGAGACCAAGTGAGTTGATGCTTTAGGCTATTAATCATTTAACATTTTTTTCTAGCATGTGACAGTGTTTTCATATTAAATGCCTTAACGTCTCTACTTTGGAAGACACACGAAGACATTAGAATGTAAATGTGAGCCCCTTTATTTAAGGACTTTGGATGAACTGTACTTAATGCATGCATTAAATGGCAGTTAATTTGCTGAGGAGCTAATTCAGTTGCAAAACAATTCAGGCCATATCTTAACTTTTAAAAATCTGTTTCTCTTGTGCTCCATTGTCAAAAAGCATATATTATATTTAATATAAGTGCAGCTTGCCCTTTTTGTGACCGTATATTTTTGAAATTTTTGCTGTGTGATACAAGTGCAAATAGGTAACTTTACAGTATATACCCTAAAACAAATTAGTTACAGAAAGCTATCAAGATATTGGTCGGTGTCTTTTTGTAATTTTGGGGGGTGGGGGAAGAGTGCTGGTTTAGCCTTGAATTGAGGAATACCTGTTTTAACCTTGATATGCTTGAAAGTGATGGATTTTTAAAAAATTTGCTGCTCAGAATCTTTAAGTTACATATTTCAGTTTTGTGGTTTAACATTAAATGTTTGAAGTGTAGACTGATGAGGGAAGACATGAAAAATGGTATGGATAGAACACTACTTTTACAGCACTTTGTTTTCTTACTTAAAGAGTAGTTTGTCAGTAGCAACTTCTAAAGTAATTTGTCCCCAGATACTTTAGTTGTAGTCCAAAGTTAAGGGACTTTTGATTGTGGAATTTTCTTGGACTTAAATGTAGTTGGAGTGATATTGGCATTTGTAAGGCTATGTAGATTTTTTTTGGTATTTGGGTACCTTTCATCAGTGGTGTGTGGTCTTACTCCAGTTTTTAATTGGACAGTGTTAATGGTATAGAAATCTGATACTGAGTTTATTAAATATTTGTAGCAGATTAAAGACTTGTGCATCTCTGCAATTCACCTGGTAAAAGAAATAATTAAAATGTATTTGTTTCCTCAGGGCCATGATCCAAAGGAACCAGAGCAGTTGAGAAAACTGTTTATTGGTGGTTTGAGCTTTGAAACTACAGATGATAGTTTAAGAGAACATTTTGAAAAATGGGGTACACTTACAGACTGTGTGGTGAGTTACTAAAGGGACAAAAAAGGTTGTTAAAGGGTGTAGGGCCTGTACAGATGTATTTCAGTACTTTAAAATTTTGTTTTATAGGTGATGAGAGACCCCCAAACAAAACGTTCCAGGGGTTTTGGTTTTGTGACTTACTCTTGTGTTGAAGAGGTGGATGCAGCAATGTGTGCCCGACCACACAAGGTTGATGGGCGTGTAGTGGAACCAAAGAGAGCTGTTTCTAGAGAGGTATTTTCATAATATTATGCTGTGTAATATGTGAGATAGTTGGAGAATTTGGTTTTTGACTAATTTTTTAATCTGTAGGATTCTGTAAAGCCTGGTGCCCATCTAACAGTGAAGAAAATTTTTGTTGGTGGTATTAAAGAAGATACAGAAGAGTATAATTTGAGAGACTACTTTGAAAAGTATGGCAAGATTGAAACCATAGAAGTTATGGAAGACAGGCAGAGTGGAAAAAAGAGAGGATTTGCTTTTGTAACTTTTGATGATCATGATACAGTTGATAAAATTGTTGGTAAGTAGAAACTTCCTGGAACTTGAATGAGAAAACAGAAAAGGTCCCTTTGTGCTATGTTAGATTTGCCAAATTGCGTTATCATTTTGTATTGCATTTAATAGCCTATAAAGCATATGGTTCAGTTTTCATAAATGACATTCTGGAACATTCCCTCATTCTTGAAGTGACTACTTTCTTGATATTTAATAAGTTATGTAGTGATGTGTTTTTCCAAACATCAAATAACTTCTGTTTGTTTGTTTGATTAAAAAAATTTTTAGTTCAGAAATACCACACTATTAATGGGCATAATTGTGAAGTGAAAAAGGCCCTTTCTAAACAAGAAATGCAGTCTGCTGGATCACAAAGAGGTGAGTAGTACAATATATACACATAGAATAGGTATGAGTGGCATTTGTAAGGTTTTTTAAAGCTCTCCCTTTCCCTTGTTTAAAGGTCGTGGAGGTGGATCTGGCAACTTCATGGGTCGTGGAGGAAACTTTGGAGGTGGTGGTAACTTTGGCCGTGGTGGAAACTTTGGTGGAAGAGGTAAGAGGGTGATCTAAGCTTGTGTCTACCTGAAGTTTATTGGTAAGTTGTATGTTTGTTTTTAATTCATACCTTGTTTTTCTTCAGGAGGCTATGGTGGTGGTGGTGGCAGCAGAGGTAGTTACGGAGGAGGTGATGGTGGATATAATGGATTTGGAGGTGATGGTAAGTTTTTAATAGGTATTCGATATTTTGATTTTGTTTCTATACTTCATGGAAAGTTACATACTTGTTTATATTTTTAATTTCAGTTATAATTTGCATGGCTTGACTACATTAAAGTAGACTTTTCCGCCTTAAGCTTGTAACATTAACTAGTTCCTTTTTTGGCCAGTAGCGTTTTTTGTACTAGCATTTGAGCTGAATTGTGTCTTGGGAGATAGTTTACTATTTTCTTTAGTAGTGAACTTAAATTTCAAAAAACTAGAATAATTTTTTTTTTTTTTTGGATACTTAATCATTCATCTTAAATTCCGTCCTCTCTAGGCCTTGCTGCTGCCGCTGTTGCTGCCACTTTGGACGGCACAGGCAGGGGAGGTGGGGAAAGGCAGAGGGAGGAGGAGAAGCAGTTCCCCACTGAGCAGGGAGCCCAATATAAGGCTCAGTCCCAGGACCCTGGGATCATGACCTGACTAGAAGGCAGCCACTTAACGGAGTTAGTCACCCAGGTGCCCCTAGCCCAGGTTTTTGATGCTCTGTTAATAAGGTGTTAACTAGTCTTGAGTGTTAAATTAAGTCCTTGGTTTATTTCCAAGTTGATCAATTGTAATATAAATTAGAGTTCAGTAACTTGACTTCACACATTGATGTTTTTGTGTGACTTCCATTTTTCTTAAGGTGGCAACTATGGTGGTGGTCCTGGTTACAGTAGTAGAGGAGGCTATGGTGGTGGTGGACCAGGATATGGAAACCAAGGAGGTGGATATGGAGGTGGTGGTGGAGGATACGATGGTTACAATGAAGGAGGAAATTTTGGAGGTGGTAAGCTTTCACTTGTTTTAAATGTTCAAGATGTTTATAGTTGATAACATATTTCAAAATGTGTTAAAATGCAACATTTGGTCAAATAGTAATACTAGAAAATACTAAAAAGATGAATGATAAAACTGAATTTTTTTGCTTTGCTGGCTGTTCAGCAAATTGGTAAAATATGAATGTACATTTTTTGGTCATACATTTTTATGTAATTAAACATCTTTTCAATTTTTCAATATTATGTAATTGAAATGGATGTTTCTCAGTACTGTATTTATTGCTAGAATTTTGATTCTGTGCACTTTTAAATTGGACAAATGGGAATAGCAAATTGAATGTGCAGACACATTGAAATGAATAGAGTGTGGTCTGGAGTTCAGGGGACAGAAGTACTTGGAATTTTAATGTCCTAGGTACATTTTATTTAAAAAAAATTTTTTTTTAAGATTTTATTTATGTATTTGACAGATCACAAGTAGGCAGAGAGGCAGGCAGAGAGAGGAAGGGAAGCAGGCTCCTTGCCGAGCAGAGAGCCTGATGTGGGGCTCGATCCCAGGACCCCGAGATCATGAGCTGAGCTGAAGGCAGAGGCTTTAACTCACTGAGCCACCCAGGTGTCCCCCCTAGGTACATTTATCTTTAAGCTATATGCCCAACATGGGGATTGAACTCATGACCCCCAAATCAAGAGTTTCATGCTCTACCCCCCGAGTCAGCCAGGCACCCCTAGAAAAAATTTTTTTAACAGCCAATTTAGAATACCTTCTTTGTCACTGACTAAAAAGTTGTGCTAGTCCAGATTAGAGCAGGTCAAGTATAGTTGATGATAGTGGTATGAAGGCAAGAATGTGTGCTAGGGTATTGGCATCTGATGTGGATGAAAGATGGCACCTATCTGTATACATGCTTTTCTTGGACCATCTTCACTTTATATCCTCTCTTCCTAGTTAATGCCTGAGGTCTGCTAGTGGCCCTCTTGTGGAGTCGGTACCTCTGTATATGGTTTTCAAAGGGTCGCCTTGTAAGAGTGATGTCATGATTGTGGAAAGATAATCAGTATATTGAAAAGAAGAAAATAATTGTGTAAGTTAACCACAATAAAACTTTTGTAATTTCAGGTAACTATGGTGGTGGTGGGAACTATAATGATTTTGGAAATTATAGTGGACAACAGCAATCAAATTATGGACCCATGAAGGGGGGCAGTTTTGGTGGAAGAAGCTCGGGCAGTCCCTATGGTGGTAAGTACTTTTCTTCCATTCCCCACCCCTACCCCTTTTGGTTAAAAATTTTTATAGATTTCTTAATTAAAAACTTAAATACATTTTTTTAAAAACCTGTGTATTTCTAGGTGGTTATGGCTCTGGTGGTGGAAGTGGTGGATATGGTAGCAGAAGGTTCTAAAAAATTTTCAGAAGAAAAGGGTAGGTATCTTTTTAAAATTTTATCATGATGATAAAGAATATGTGGAACTGTTCACTGAGTGTAATAATTTTTTTATCCTGTATTATTCAACAGGCTACAGTTCTTAGCAGGAGAGAGAGCGAGGATTTGTCAGGAAAGCTGCAGGTTACTTTGAGACAGTCGTCCCAAATGCATTAGAGGAACTGTAAAAATCTGCCACAGAAGGAACGATGATCCATAGTCAGAAAAGTTACTGCAGCTTAAACAGGAAACCCTTCTTGTTCAGGACTGTCATAGCCACAGTTTGCAAAAAGTGCAGCTATTGATTAATGCAATGTAGTGTCAATTAGATGTACATTCCTGAGGTCTTTTATCTGTTGTAGCTTTGTCTTTTTCTTTTTCTTTTCATTACATCAGGTATATTGCCCTGTAAATTGTGGTAGTGGTACCAGGAATAAAAAATTAAGGAATTTTTAACTTTTCAATATTTGTGTAGTTCAGTTTTTCTACATTTTAGTACAGAAACTTTAACAAAATGCAGTTTTGAAGGTGTTTCCTTGTGAGTTAACAAGTAAAGAAGATCATTGTTAATTACTATTTTGTATGAATTTTGCTAAAGTTAACTGTAAAGAAACACCTGCTGACTTGCAGTTTAAGGGGAATCTATTCTCCGCATTTCCAAACCATGAAATGAATGGGCTCTGACATGTGGAGAGAATAGATAATTTGTATGTTTGCAATGTGTGTTTTAGATAAATAGAATTGGGTATTTAAATTAGCATACTTGTGAATTTAATAGCATTAAGATTTACCTTCAAATGAAAAAAATCTCAAAATTCCTATTTGGTTTTTGTGCATTTTCTTTCAAAATGTAAATCATATTTTAGTGTGTTAGTTTTGCTAAGAGTCCTAGCCATGTTTAGAACATCTCCATTCTACATTCACCTTGGTCACATGTGAACTGCCATAGTTTTTATTTGGGTGTAAAGAATGTCTACTGCCCTTTGTTTAAATTCTGGAAAGGGGCAGTGGATGTTTTCCCTTTCACTTAAAAACCATTCTTAAAAATTTAAAAATACAGGACCACTAAGCGTGCTGTGTCTGAGCAAATTAGTGGCTACCATTTTTTTTTTTTCTTCCCGTTTTCTCAAAGCACAAGAGGCCCATAAATCTTCGGTTATTTTCCTTGGTTTAATATATATATTTTTTTGATACAAGCTTTTAGAAGCAAGAGAATAAAAATCATGCATTGTTGAACCCTTAACTGGCTGGCATGCTTTCCTGTTTGTACCCTCTCTATTGGATAAAACCAAGGACAGTCTAGAAAATCCTAAATGACTTCACTGCAGTAGAAGTGTAGCACAGTTGCTTAGTACAAGCTTCTCACTTTCCCACAGACCTGAATTCAAAGTTGAATAGTCTGAGTTCTTGCTCACTTAAAATCCAAAAGAACACACTGTTACTCCATGTGTATGCTTGAACCTGAATCGTGTTGGTATGAGTTAACAGTTTGGTTTGGAAGACCTTGGTTGAGAAGAGTTTGAGATAAGGTCATATATAAACACCAATGTCTACTGTTTTGCGCCAGCTAGTGCTTACAATTTCATTCGAGCCCTAAGTTATGTGCTCTGCTGTTCTCTTTCTTTGGCAGTTGAACGTTGAATTCAAGATTATTTTTGTTTTCAGAAGTACTAAGCAAAACAAGCAATAAAAAGGGGAATGGGGCGTGCTAGTGTTTGAATATGCTCTCTTGTTGCTCTAATTCTGTGCCTCTGTGCATTATTAATATTTGGATGCATGCAATGCCAGCATGGAAATCGGTCTTCACAGATACTGCAGTTTTCCAGAAAACACTCACAAACCAATAAATGTAACAGACAACATTCCATTTGTTAATGGACATATGTGAATAAGCAGCGTAGAAAATAGGCTAATATTAGAAAATGGTTAAGTCTTTAACAACTTCAAATGTGGTTATATAAATGGACACTGTCAATGTTCATACCTTAAACCTGGGTACCTGGTCAAAGTACTGCTTGGGAAACATTTTATTAAAATTGAGCTAAATTGTCTCAAGTTCTTTTATTCATATAATAAAGGTTGAAGGAATGGGGGAGATTAACATTTCCTGTTTCTATGTTTGTGAAATTGTTTGACACAACCTTGACAGTATCCTTTAATGGCATATGAGGTTAATTGTACTGTTTAACAACCTTTTTATGTTCTGGAACTAGTTTAATAGTGAAAATATTTTCAGTAAGTTGATGTTTGCAACCTATAAGCAGGTGAAATCTGTGTATGTGACCTGTTTATAAGTTGTATTAGCTTAGTTCTTGTGAACAGTGTGGAAAAGTAAGCCATGAGGAGAGCGATTTAACCAGCTTTAAAGGACCTAAGGTGTGCATTTTAAGCACAGTCTGGATCAAAGGAGACTCACTAAGACAGGACTTCAGCAGCCTTTTGAGTATGGACAAGTCAGCATAAATAAAGAATGACAAGGCAGCAGCAAGAGCTTCAACTACAGAGAAGTGAAGGCATAAGATACTATGGTGATAGTGAGCAACTTTCCAAAAGCTAGTTAAATCTGCTTATTACAACTGAAATATCGAAGAAAGTCTAGCAGGAAGGAGCTCTTCGCCTATTGGAACATCAATGAGAGATAGTTGCCACAGTCACTAGGTCTAGCATTTAGACCTGCAAGGAAGGGCAATAAGCATTAGGTAAGGCTTGAATTTGAATTTTTTCACTAATTAAAGAGTAATTTTTTGTAAAGCAAGGTAAGAGTAATCTTTTTGATTTGCAGGTTGAATGAGAACCCTTCTTGCCTAAATGAGGAATGTCTTTCCTACCATCTTAAATACGAAGGTTTCTGGCTGGGTAAGGTTTGTAGCTCACAGTAAAAGCTGATGACACCATTTGTTTCCCTACAAATACATATTACATATTTTCAAACCATTAGGTACACTGGCAAAATTATTCAGCTGATAACTTCGAGAACCACATCCAACACATTTTAAAACCATTTTAGGCCCTGGCAACAACCATGGGTATCTTGAGTCAGATACGGCTCCATGTATACGATTTATTCTTGGTGTCTTTAGGATAAAGTTAGTTTTTGATAAGAGGAGTAAGGTGATAAGCAGGACACTTGTAACAGAAGCATTAAGCTGCCAATCCTCATTCTTTGAAAAACACCTTAGAATGAACTTCCAAAATTGCCAGGTGATTCAGATTGAAAAATGGTCTTCATTCAAGTGGCCTCAAATTCTCTTGCATGTAAATTCAGGGAATTACTTGAATAGGGTACATTTTTGGTTCTTTTTAACCAGTTAGCCGGAAGTAGTAGGAGCCTAATTATGCTATTCCCTTTTTAAAAGATTTCCCAAAGAACAGTTAAAATATTCCTTAGTATTCGTATCAGTTGATTATTCATAAGGGCTATTGCTGCCCCAAAAGGGCTTATTAAAAGTTGAGATTTGAGGGGTACCTGGCTGGCTCAGTTGGTAGAGTTGAGCATGCAGCTCTTGCTTGGGTTTATGAGTTCAAGCCCTGTTTTGGGCAGGTTTAAAGCAGTTTATAAAGTTCATACGTAGTAGATTTAGTTCGCCAGGGTTTATTCTCGGAAAATGACTGGTTGGCTCTGTTTCTGTACCTAAATCAGGATTGAATTTCTACACAGAAGTGTTGAAGAAGGTAATGGCATTTTGATAATTTTCTTTACTAAGTGGTTGTAGTGTGACATTAAGATAGGAAACATTTTTTTAAAAAGGCATTGTTCGTTCTTCACAGTCCATCTCATTTCTTACAAAATAAATTGATTTTATTTAAATGTAGTTCCATTGTCATTCCTGAAAATGTGCTCTTCAGTCATAGTACCAGTTTAAAAAAAAAAAGTTCTAAGGGGGAAATGGTTGAGAAAAACATTTCAATCGATCTTGTCAAGCCATCTCACATGTTACTGCTTCCCACACTACATTTTTTAAAAAATAACAAGCCTGATACACATGAAATCTTGAAGAAAATTGGGTAATACAGATCATTTAAAGATCTGAACAACGGAAATAAGCTTGTTTCTTGAGTTCCACTATGTAAGTTACAACTTGAAACATTTCTAGTTACGGACAGTCTCTCGAAGTTCGGATGTCGCAAGTAGAATGATTCGCAGGTTAATGCAGGGGTGATGTAAGGATTGTTAGCCTATATAATATTCAAGATTACTTTTAAATTCAATGTTTTATCCTGATTTTTAAGACTTAAGAGGTGGTCTGTAATGGATTCAAATGTTTCATTTGTAGTATAATGAGATGTTTACAGAAAGATAACTTTTTCATTAAAATATTTTTAGAAATGTGTGTGTTGTTTTGTTGCTTCACAGTGTTGATGTGATTTAAACACTTAGGTGAATATTACATTAGTAAAATAATAGGAAACTTGGAATGATCCTTTATATAGTGGTTAAAGATAATGGATTCTATTCAGTGGAAAATAAATACATGACACTAGAAATACATGTTAGAAGAATAAGCCAAAAGCATATTACTTAAGGATGTAAGTCTTGAATACCAATAGGCGAGATGTTGGGGTGATGAGGAATCTGAGCTTTTGGGGAAAAAATACAAAGTTATGGATACTCGGGAAGAGAGATGGGGACAGGGTTTCAGATGTTGGATCAATTCCCCTCCCCACCCCTATCCAAGGCAGTGGATTGCTTGAGTCTACTGTGGTGTGATGGTGGGCTGGGAGGAAAAAGCATGAAATTTTGTTAGACCGCAGTGGTGCACTGATAACAGCAAAGTAATCAATTGTAGGGTAGGGCTTTGAGAATTGTGACTTTTAGGAAAACTTCATAGCACAAGTATTTAGATTCTTAGTGTTAATAACAGCATATTAAATACAGTTGAAGCTGTGTGAGGAATTTGAGCTATTAGGATTGCAACACATTTTGATTACAACGCAATATATTCAGTGGTTTCAAATTTTGCAGCTTTAAGTACCTTATAATCCTGTTTTAATACTTCTAAAGTAACTCAGCAAGAGTGAACTTAATTTCTACCAAAATAAATTTGTTTTTCAGAATGAAAATGATAATCTGGCAACAAAACATTGGAATCTTCCATATGTTTATAGACTAATTAAATCTTGGAGAGAGATGAGTGTTCTGCAAAAACTGGACCTATGTTATAGTTGATTTAAATTAGGATTGTATAGAAGGTACCAAGGATTGGGAAGGGGTTAAGATTAATAGGTAAAATATGCCATTTTTGCTTAGATTTTTTTTTTCAAAGACCAGTAATGGCAGGTTGCATTGAACTGCCTTTCAAGCAATAAAGGTTAAGTGAACCACCATACTGAAAGCTAGTTAGGAAATAGGAATTTGCCCAAGATACGCAACTTGAACAATTTATTGATAAATTTAGATTAAGTACAAGGGTGTTGGCAGCCTTAAGATATGGAATGGTTAAGTGTCACCTAATCCATGTATATAGCCATTATAATTGTTATAAGGGCCTAGAATCACAAGGGCGAATCAAGTGTAACAGTTAACACTTGACGTTAAAATACATCGTTAGTCTGTGCATTGTTGACAGAAATGTTGAATAAGTTTTTGTTCTTCAAAATACCTAGGAAAAGAACTGATTGGTGCTCTATTTGGATTTAATCTCATTTGTCTCCTTTTACATCCTTAATAGGTTGGAAAATTCACTTAGGTTTTAGTTTCTTAGAATCAAGTTTAACAGTAAAATACTTAAATACAGAAGTTTTGTGAGCTTTGGCAAGTTTACTTGGGGTTTCTTTTTTATGCATGCTACACTTAGGCAGTTAGGTGATGCCAACAAACCCTTAGGAATGGTGGTTTTATATACATTAAATATGTAGAATTAAGCATTACATTGAAAATCGTAATCAAGGGACACCCGGGTAGCTCAGTTGGTTGGGCATCAAACTGCAGCTCAGGTTGAGAGAAGCCCCATTGTTGGGCTCTACTGGGCTCTGCTCGGCATGGAGCTTGTGTAAGATGCCTCCCCTCCCCCCCAATAGTAATCAAAATATACTGTTTAATTTAGTAGCATATGCTTCAAGTATTAAATGAGGCTAGTGGGTCTGACTTTGGACTTTGAGGTTGTGATGCATAAATGTTGTCTCTAATATTGAAGGAAATGTTAAATTTCATTAAATGTCAGTAACTCGGTTCAAAATTCTCTGACATCCTATCCAGATAGTAGCTGTTTTGACCTAATTTTTTTTTTTCGTTTGTGAAATGGAGATTATACCTACCCTCGTTAATTAAGCCTGAAGGTTAAATCTGATAATGGGTTTAAAGAACTTAATCTGTTACCTGGCCCATGGTCCCTAAAGATACTTTTGGTAATAATTTATGGGTACTGTCTTAATATCTTCAAGCATAGTTAAAATTCTAATGGACGACAAAGTTAACTATGCCATTCTTTTATTTTTTTTTTTTTTTAAAGATTTGAGAGCAACAGAAGTAGGGGGAACGAGTGGGGAGGAGAGAGAGAGAATCAGACTCCCCACTGAGCAAGGAGCGGAACTCTGCTCTGTCCCAGCACACTGGGATCATGACCCTAGTGGAAGACAGATGCTTGACCTTGACTGGGCCACCCAGGGGGGGTTCCTTGATATGCTAATGTCTTAAAGAGGTTTTTTCCCTCCACATACAGTGAAAGTTTTTGAGATCTTTAAATTTTTCTCCATCTCTCAAAAAGTATAAAATGCAACTGAAAACTGAGCCTGTCCTGGTATTTTTGAAATAGGAATGAGAATTACTTTGCATATGTTTTGAGGCTGCAAAGTATGGTATGAGAAGTACAAGTTGAGCAGCCACTCCTTCCCTAAAAATCCTGGCCTTAAGAAATCTCAGCAAGAAGATGTTTCTTGGCTTAACAAATGCAGTATCTTTCAGCTAAGGTTTCTAAGAACGCTTGATGTATGTCAGTGTAAAAGGCATAGGTACAGATTTTAAAATGAGTCTAATATTTCAACAATTGGATTGCCAAACAATCTGAGGACGCTAAAAAGTCCAGGTGGGCTCAAGTCCAGCTGAGGAGATGAA